GAAATAATGATAAGTTGTTTAGGAATTAGCTACCTGCTAACAATTATGATAATTTATTTGTGCTCAGTGTTTCAGTTTTGAAGTACACTGCTGTACCAGAAACTTAAGAGAATATACCATGTAATCTAAAGTATAAACTGGTAAACATTTTCCTGAAATTGATCACTTCATCCTTCAAAATATTCATCTATTCCCAGGGGAGAAAATCTTGCATATAGAATACTAGCATATCAGGAAAAGGCATTTTAACTTTGCTTTTGCCTCAGCATAGTCCTTTGTTATGTATAAGGGGCTTGAGCAATGTAAGCAAGTCATATAACACAGCCCAAAGCAATGCATTTACTAAAAACAGATTTCCACTTGGATGTTTCTGATTGTACTGCTGAGGCTGTCTGCCCCACAGACACACCAGCAGGGGCTATGCAAGTAACCGCTGAAATTTCATAGCAGAAAACTTACCCAAAGCTTCATTTCCTCTTCAGATAGGCATATGAGAGAAGGGAGCATGTGAAACACTTCAACTTGGTTCTTGCAAACTGGATCACCAGTTGGAAGCTCTTAACCCCTGATGCCTTTTAATAGGGCAGGTATAATACCTTCTTAAATGCTTTGGAATGGAAATGAACAGAAAGGTTCTGCTGGTTCTACTGAGAGTTATAAAAGCAATTCTTAAAAACTATTGGTTCTGATAGCTGTTGCCTAAATAGTTCTAACTGGGTCATTTGAATATTTCCATCTTCTCCTTTTGGGGGAAAGTGGTTGAGAAAGTGAAAGGCAATGGTTTACAGAGAGTGTAGCTACTTCAGTCCTTGTGAATTATAGAAAAATTGTCCCCTTGTTTCTTTCAAGTTATTAAGTAATTAAGTTAGAGTGACTATTTAGACAACTATTGGAAACAACACTATCACTGGAATAAGGATACAAGTATCTTTGTAACTCACAAGAACTTGAATTAGCTGCACTGAAGTAAGTTCTGCTTTGTTCACTTCTCATTATGTCCCCTTGATGGCAATGACATTTTGGTTTGAAAAGTGCCAGTTCCCTTATCAAATGGAGTTTTTCTGGATTTTAGCCAAGAGCAATAAATTAAGCTGTTGTTTTCAGTCAGAAAAAAAGAGAAGGCTATTTGTGTTTACCTTGCATTACATAGTCCACATATGTTCTCACCATCCAAAGAACAGTGGTACCACTAAATTAAATTTTAATTTTAAACTCCAGATATACTGAATTTGGCTATCTGTAGGTGGTATGTTAGACCAGAGGTGTCAAACACGTGACTCCAAGGCTGCATAAAGCCCACAACATTCCTGAATGTGGCCCAAGTCAGATTAAAATGCATTTGGGAAATAAATAAAATAAAAATACAATAAAACATAGACAATATTACATTTTAAAACTAAATAATAATAAATTTAATCACCAACCACTGTAAAACATTTTTATAAAGTGAGTCGTGAGCCTGGCATTCTGCACAAGTTCGCTGCCTCAACTTAACTGCAGCAGCGAGGATTGCTTGGCACAGACTAACCAAGAGCTCCATGTGATCAGAGTTCCCTCTCAGTCTCACTGGAGCGGTGCCAAGCAATCCTCGCTGCTCCTGTTAAGCTAGGCAGCAAGTTGTGCCCTTTCCCCAGGACAGCAGGCAGACAGCCTTGCAGTGGAAGCTGACCTGCTCTGGACCTGTCTCTCCACAACAGGTTGAATTCACTTCCCTCCTCCCTCCAAAAAAAGGCTTAAATTCTCTTCTCTCTCCAAAACTGGTAAAGTGTGCGTCTGTTACCTTTTTGGCTTGTGACTGGGTTACTTACATGGCCATCTCTCCCCGGTTGTTTCTACCCATCCTACCCGATCCAGCAGGAGGGGCATGCTCCAGGCGCCGTCAGCTAAGGAGTACTGGCTGGTGGGGCCCAGGAGGAGAGCCTTTTCTGCTGTAGCACCCTCCCTGTGGATCATCATTCCACTTGAGATTAGGTTAGCCCCAACCCTCCTGGCCTTTCCCCCGAAAACATGGTTTTGTGCCCAGGCCTAGGCCTGTGGACATGTGATAGGGCCCATCTCTTAGCTTTGCTGACAGTTATTTATGAAGCTCAGCTACTATGTTTTTATTTTTATTTTATATTATGTACTTTATTGTTTTTATCTATTTTATTGCAAGCTGTCTAGAGTCACTTATATGAGAGGGGCAGCTATATAAATACAAATAAATAAATAAAACAGGTTGAATTCATTTCCCTCCTCTGTCCAAAAAAAAGTTGAATTTCCCTCCTCCCTCCAAAACAGGATAAATTTATTTTCCTCCTGCCTCCTAAAAAGATTTAATTAATATCTGTTGAGTTTCGGTCTCCACAATGACCATGATCATTATCAACTTTATACAAAATTTCAATTTTAAAATTGATAATAAAGTTTAAATAATTTCAGAATCCATCCAGAGAAGAAGGAAAAAATGGGGAAAATGAAAGAGAGGGGGCAATCTAAATGCTTTTTTGTGTAATGCTTTGCTTTCTTTTTTCTATTTTTTTTCTTTCATCACAATATCAAAAAAGAAAGAAAGTTAAATGTTTACAAAATATTGATTGCAGCTATCAGTGACTAATGAGTTTATATTATAATCTTTAAGCATGTCTCTCTGGAGCCTTACTTTGTGGCTGACACCTTACTGTACTTTGTTGTAGTGGTTAAGGTGTCAGACTAGAAATCAGGAGATGGTGAGTTTAATCCTGCTGTGGGCACAAAGCCAGCTGGGTGACCTTGGGGCAGTCAGTTCTCTCACCACTAGGAAGAAAGAACTGCCAATTCACTTCCAAAAAGTGCAGGGGTCAGTTGCCAGGAGTCCAAAATTACTTGAAGGCACAACTTTCAAGTGTGTATGTGATGTGCTATTATGCTTTCTAATTTCTATACCTTAACTGAGAAATACATAAATATCTTAACATGTCACTATTACATGTTTTTGTAATTTACTCATATTATTGTGCACAAATTTGTACTTGGTTTGGGAAATGCTGCACAAAACCATTTTTTCCACACATAAATATATTGAAGGCATGTCAGAAATTAGAGGGAACATTGGAGCGAGGCAATAAGTAGGAGTAGGAGGTGGTTTATCACACATTTGGTAGTAGGCCAGGAGGAAGCTCAGAGTGGGATGGTGGGGAGATAGAAAGACAGACACACACACACACACACACACACACAAATATTGGGAAAACAGTCAAAGTTGTAATAATGATGTTTCCTTTTTACATATTAGTTATATCTAGTTCCTATCTGATTTTAATGTGTTGATGTATTAATAAAAAAGAAATATATAAACAAGTGTGGTTTTCTACATCAATATGTGGCCTGCAGACATCCTTATGTACGGTTTAGTGGTCCCTGTTTGTATTTGAACTTGACACTACTGTGTTAGATTATAACCCACATAATCTTTACCATGATGATCTATGCCCTGCAGGCTGGAAGTTGTAGTTCAACACATCTGGAGGGTACCAAGTGGAGAAAGACTCTTCGTGTTTATTATCATGTTCATTCATCTTGTTCCTTCATATATTGAAGAAATTAGTTTTGCAACTGAAATTAACTGTTATGGCTTAGCCTTGGATCACATTAGCATATTTTAAAAAGATAATACAGGGCTTAAAGTTTTCAGCCAAATACAGCAGAGGTCTCTAAAAATACTATTTAGAGCCCTTTTAAGGAATGGAGATATAAAGTATATAAATAAATGCAGCAATGATTTGATTAGACATTTAATGAACATAATCACCTCACCCAGTCCTGCTGCAAAAGAAAAGATAAAAATCTTATTAACTTTACTTTTTGCTCAAAGACAGGAAAGAAGGCTCGGATGAACGCTAGATGAAATCATTTTTGCATTCTTTTAACTGGTTCATAGTGCTAAAACAACAGGGTTCACCAAAAATGGGTAGTTTTGGGAACAAAACAATCACTGATTCAGGCGAGATTGGATGCTTGAGATATGTGTGTATAGATATGTAAAAGATTAAAATTTGGCTTGATATAAATTCTTTAAATAATAACCAAATTAAATTCTTTTTATTTTTGCTAGATTGGGAGATCAACAGAAAGTCCTATAGATTTTGTAGTGACAGATACTGTTCCTGGAAGCCAGAGCAATTCAGAGACTCAGTCTGTTCAGAGCACCATCTCAAGGTTTGCCTGCAGGATAATATGTGAACGAAATCCTCCTTTCACAGCAAGAATATATGCTGCCGGCTTTGACTCCTCCAAAAATATCTTCCTAGGGGTAAGGAGCTTGTCTCCCTCTACTGCTCAAAGCAAATGTAACATTTCAGTTTGCTTTCCAACAGATCTGCGAAAGTATTAATAACCTTAATGCAGTTTTTAATTATTTGTTATCTCCCTCTAGGAAAAAGCTGCCAAGTGGAAAACACCTGATGGACAAATGGATGGGTTAACCACAAATGGAGTCCTTGTTATGCATCCACGGAATGGGTTCACTGAAGACTCAAAGCCAGGGGTGTGGAGGGAGATATCTGTATGTGGGAATGTGTTCAGTCTTCGTGAAACAAGATCTGCTCAGCAGAGGGGGAAAATGGTAAGTCTGAGGACAGAGGTTCTCAAGCAGTACATGGTGACCCCCTGGGAGGGTATGAGCTAGTTGGTGAGGTGGGGGAGACTTTTTCAGTCTGACCACACGAAGGTGGATCGTTGCAAGTACTTGATTCCAGATGCGTTGACAAGCCTCCCTCTTTACTGATTCAGTGCATGGAATTGCGAGACTGTTCTGTGGGGAGTGGTTAGCTGGGGTGGGAAGGGTTGCGTTGCCTTTTTCCTGTTAGCTCGGTGAGATGTGCACACAGGAGAGGTGTATTGTGTTCCTGCTGGTTTGTGTGGAGAAATGCCTGCCTTGGACTGTGTAAGTGCTGGCACTGTGCAGTAGGCAAAGGCACTTTCTTTTCCACTTTTTTAGGCGGTGGTGGGGAGGTAAAGGGGACAGGTGCATCCAGCACAACAGTGATGAAGGAGAGTGGTGGCTCCAGGGAAAAGGATGTGCAAAGGGAAGACGGTAGATTCTGGAAATGGAGGCAGTGTAGCATGCTCACTTGCAGAGAATCAAGAAACATAATCTAGAATTTATTTCATCTTTTGGCACGCTGTTGTTTTACCACAGCTTCCAGCTTTGTGCAGTGCCATTTTCCCAAACAGGATTACTGGTCATGGGAGTTTCTACTCCTCCATGTGGTGCTCCCTATGGCAGTCTGGCTTTGCATGCATAAGCCAGAGCCTTTCAAGAACTTGATACTACTCTGCTCGGACAGACTAGATGGTCCCATTTTCACAGTGATCTGGAGCCCTGTGAAAACGATGGCTTGCATATCAAAAGCTGGATTGCTGACAGAATTTTGTCCCATTCTGACTGTTCAAGCCAGCAGCAGGACTGAGTTCTGACAAGGCTCCACTTTTCATGCCTAAAGGGAATCTACTTATTTATCAATGTTGTATGCTGATGTAATCACATAATAGGCTTCCGGCAAATAAGGAATGTGGTAAGAAATCCATTCAGAAAAGAGAAGCTTATTAGTTTCATTCATGGAGGGTCACACATGCAATTATTCCCTTACCCTCTTAAGTGCAGACCTCTGCAGGGAAGAAGAGTGTTTCTAGCTATTTCATTATTTTCAGTGCTGTTATCTGATTTCTCCAATGTTAGACATCCAGTACTCATTTCTTAGGTAGGAAGCTATAAGAACAAAATCACTGAATTTTGGAATAGGATTGATTTGATTAAAAACTATGCACATTTCATGAATTCTTTATTAATCTTCCAGGTTGAAAATGAAACCAACCAACTTCAAGATGGTTCACTGATTGATCTCTGTGGAGCCACACTTTTGTGGCGTACAGCAGAAGGACTTTCACACACTCCAACAGTGAAGCACCTGGAAGCTCTCAGGCAGGAAATCAACGCAGCCCGGCCTCAGTGTCCTGTAGGCTTTAACACATTAGCCTTTCCCAGTATGAAGAGGAAAGATGTTGTCGATGAAAAGCAACCCTGGGTTTATCTGAACTGTGGCCATGTGCACGGATATCATAACTGGGGGAATAAAGAAGAAAGAGATGGCAAGGATCGGGAATGTCCAATGTGCCGGTCTGTGGGTCCATATGTGCCTCTCTGGCTTGGATGTGAGGCTGGATTTTATGTGGATGCAGGGCCTCCAACTCATGCATTCAGCCCATGTGGACACGTGTGCTCAGAAAAGACAACTGCCTACTGGTCTCAAATCCCTCTTCCTCATGGTACCCATACTTTTCATGCAGCATGTCCATTCTGTGCACATCAGCTTTCTGGTGAACAAGGCTACATAAGACTTATTTTCCAAGGACCTCTTGATTAATGTACACGCATTACTAAAGGACTGTATCTAAATGCATAAGCATAAGCTAAAGAATTCTGATTTCAAATGAACTGTTGTCTTAAAATCAACTATATTTCTTCTCTGGGCTTTGACAGTTTACTTTGAGATGAAGAATACTTTTATTAATATCATCATTATTTCAGCGGTTAAGTTCTCTGTAGATAATGAAAGAAGTTGCTATGTAGAAAAGACTGGTGGTGGGTAGGTAGGATAGATGGAAGGTAGTTACAGGCCCATCTTTTTTTTGAGATGGAAATGATAAAATTCTTTGCCTTCATTGTAATGTTTTGAATAACATGCCTTTAATATCTGAAAGATATCTCTTTTTTTGTAAGTACATATCTGAGGGTAAAAGTGATCAGAAGGACATATGTTTACAGCTTGGATGCAAACATGTAAAATAGAGCAATCTGTATATTAACTCCTTTTTCTATTTATCTTTACTATGAGTAATTATCCTAGATGACTTGGATAGAGTAGCAGGGTAGTGTTGTTACATCCATTGATGGGATGTGTAGATTAGTTCTTGACCAGAAAAGTTAGGAGAAGGGGAAATGGTAAAGGAGCTTTATTTTGTAAAAGTCTAAAACACTATTGAGCTGATGGCTAAGCAGGAAGTTATAAAACTCAAAGCATATTACTTTTATATGCTTTTTAAAAAGTCCTTAATTATACATCAGATAATTCAGATAAACACTTTGGTGTTTCTTTTTCTCTGTCTGATGGAAATGTAACACCTGGTCACATAACATTTACCTGATACTTGGAATATGCAATTTACCCTCAATGAAATTATTTTCTTCCTCTGTGTTAAATATTCTGTGTTTGTTTTGCTTTTAGTTTTTGTTTTGCCTTTTTTTTTCAACTCAGAAGGGTTTATGTTTATTTAAATAATAAAAAATAACCAAGGCATATGAGGTTGGGTTTTTTTTCTGCAATATTAGAAAAAAGTCAGGATATATGTGGTCAGCTTCTGTACATTATACTGGTAGCTGATCAACGTAATATGTTTTGATGATATATTGTAAACTGCCTAAAGTCTTGGGATTGGGAATATAAATAAAATATAAAATGATGTAAGTAAATGTAGGCACAGATTAGGATAGACTTAACAGACAAAAATACATGTACATGTTTTCATTGCAAAAGTTATTGTAATTTATGTCTTTATATATATATTGGCAGCCCTCAAAGTATTCTCTTTTCTAGCATTATTCATAGAACAAAAACTATACACTGGGATGGTAACAGCCTTAATTTTGTTCCAAATGCAGCAGTGAAATACAGAAATTGGTCCTTAGTTCTGACATGTCTGGTTCCCCACCTGCCTCCCCATGCAATCTGTGCTGAAAGCATGTTGGGAAAAATTCAGTGTAGAGCTAACAAAGTTCTCAACCTGGTGTAATCTCCAGATATATTCAGCTTAACCACTGATGGACTGTTAAAATCAAATACACTGGCAAAGCAAAGATTAGAGAAAATTCCCCCACATGAGCACAATTGTATGCAAGCTGATTCAGAAGCAAATTGTACTTTGTTCATTGGGAGTGACTCCAGGTGAGGAAGTGAAATTAGGTAATAGAACTGCATTCAGTCAATGGCATTATCCATCAGATTGTAATGTGTATATTTTATGCCAATGCAGCACCAGTAGCTGCTGATGGAGCTGCTGAAACCCCATTTTCTTTTTGCTGCCTCCATATTTAATTGTCCCAATAATTCACATGAGATTAAAGAAACGTAGTGGTCTACATAAATGACTGATAGTAGTGAAACTACTATCAGAATATTTTATCATTTTCTGTACTATGCTTAAACACTACTTTTAAGGCTGCAGCCTACAAACAGAAAATAACAGCAGGCAACAATAGCAAATCAAACAAAACAGCATTCCCCAACTATGGTTGCCTCCAGATGTGTGGATTTCAGGTTTCAAAATCTTCAGGAATCACCATACTAGCTGGAGAAGTTCATACATCTGGAAGTATCTAGGTTGGGAAGGTTGGCCTAAAACACAGAAGTTTCATAAGGCAGATGCTAGGTGAATTCTTGTAGATAGGGAATTCCCAGAAAGGGGACACACACAAACAAGGTTCAGGTGAACAAGTATATGAAGTTTCTTGAATTTTCCTTTTCACAAGACTGCCTACTGTGCCAGTGGAATAGAAATTATAAGCTTATTCGCTTAATGTCTGTTTTGTTTAAATAAATGCAAAGCAATATTAACGCCAAAATTATGAAATACTTTGATAGACATGGACATGCCCTGCTGAAGAATAAACAACATGGCTTCTATAAAAGGAAGCAAGAATCCTTTTTGGTACTTGAATTCTAAACCCTATAATAAAAAAAAAGTAAATGCAAAGCTGAACATAATGGAAAAAATCCCAAATGAGGAATGGGGCTTCCTAGTTCCCTTTCTGGACTTTTACACCTTAACTACTTTAGCCCTGCATTCAAAGCCAGTAATAGCTTTGTACTCTTGATCTTCAGATTTCTTTGAACTATTCTGCCTATGCAATCAAATCCAATCTTAATTGCTTTCCAGTAGCCCACATTTTAGCTCCTAGATCACTCTTTCTGTTTCAGTCCTAATAATAACTTTGAAAAAGCAAAGGTTTGAGTCATAATGCATGACTAGCATTTAAGGTGTGGTTAGAAACTTCTGTCAAGTACCTTTGCAAGCAGATTAGCAAAAAGCCACCTGCCTTTGAAAAAGAGAAAAAAAATAAACTTCTGAGTAATTTAAAATGGTTTTTCATAAAAACACAACTTCAGAATACAGGTTGAAAGCTTGGCTATTTTATCACTGCTTTAAAAAAAAAAAGTGGAGAATCCTCTCTTGATCAGCGTGTTGGAAAGCACACAAGATACACAAATCTATTTAGCTATTTAGGTAGTCGCATGGAATCATTTTGGTTTTTGATCTTCATTTATTCTAGTTATCCAACCAGAATTTTCAAGGCTGTTTTCCTTAAAATGTGAACACTTAGTTGTTTTCAGAGTTTGTCTAGCTTTGACATGCCTACTGGATAAGAAAAAAAAAAATAGAAATAAGAGCTCCACACAAAGACACAGCCCAGACAATTTAGGAACTGAATGGTTTTTCTCATATTAGTCTTTAGCACTGTAAGAGAAGATAAAAATGGAGATCACTTTCCAAAAATAAAACTGGAAGCTTCTGGCTAAAAGTACTGGATAATCAATGAGAACTGAAATGAATATTTCTGGAAGTTTTTTCCCCCTCTAAAAGGCCAGCCATACTAGGGGAATGTACAGGTAGTCCCTGGATTAAGAGTGCCCAGGTTACAGACGACCCATAGTTAAGAACGGAGCCTATTGTAGCAAAATCCGAGTTAAATGATTCAAGTTGAATACCCAGTGGTTCGAGTCCATTACACAATACTACTTATACAGTATTATACAATACAATAATACTGTTCCAGGTTATATACAAATTTGACTTAAGGACAGACTTTGGGAACGGAACTCATTCTTAAACTGGGGATCACCTGTACTGCAAATGAGCTGGGCACAATCCCAGCACATACCTATATGGACAATTGCCTAGAAAGAAGAAATCTTCCCCCCTATTGGAAAAAGTAAAAAGGGCGATGTCTTTGCTGAAATCCTGGAGATTATTGATAATCCCAGTATTAGATGTATATCCTATACGAGTGGGTTTAACAAGGAAGTCAAGGAAAGCATTGGAAGCAATAAGGTTCCCTAAGAACATGAAAGGCTTGCCCAAATCAGGACAAGAAAGGAAACCAAACTTGCAGGCACATAAATGCAATCAAATAATACCCTTTTCTTTTTTGTATGTTACTGAAATAATTTAAACCAACATTAAAAAAAAAATTACAACAAAAGTAGTGAACTAATTTAGGGTGATTGGACTATTATGACAAAAGCAAGAAAAGGATACTGCAGAACAGTGGATTTTTTGTGATCTTCAGTGAGGAAACCATAGGGCAAATACCTTTGCTTGAATTGAATTTCAGGAAAAATGTCTGAAGAATGAAGGTTCCCAGCTACAAAACCATTTAGTAGTCCCTGGAGGCCCACCTGATTGCACCACCAAAATTCAGCAGTGTGGTTTCCCAATAAAAATCAGCATAATGTATACAAACTCTCATTTCAGTGCTGGATTTTTCTGAGTACTTTAATGAAAAAAATGCGGTTTAAGATTCTTTTTCTTCCAGTTACTCTGAATTATTTGGATTTTTTTCTCTTGGCTCTTCCTACTTAGCATCAAGGCTCTGCTCACTGCTGACTTTGACCAGGATGGAAAAAAAATTAAAATGTGGCCCAACACTACAGGAAATTGTACCTCCCTGTTCTAAGCCTTTGGGATAAAATCATCATATCATCAACATCTACTTGGCTTGAATAATATCTACTGAAGAATTCTTAACTTTAATGTGAAATTGCTGTTTTCAACAACAGCAAAAATAAATACTTCTAAATACTGGCTTCTAAACTAGAGAAGAGTTGTATTTATTATTTATTTATTAGCTTGGTGTTGAGTGGGAACTTATGCCTGAGCCTTTCTAGTCTTGACTGCAAGGCAAATCAGTCAAGTGTTGGATTTTTGATTGACGTGTTTAACGTATGTAGAAGCTATTGCTATGCTATTTCCTTAAGGGAAATTGGGGGGGGGGAGGAATTCCATGTATTTTAAAATATAGTATTGGACTGCCATCTGCTGACATATACAAAGGTTGCTACAGACAAATATATCGTCTGCAGGTATTCCATTTGTTTTAAATGACATATGGACCCTTGACATGGCTATCCTTTATTAGAACCAAAAATGGTACGTGCAAGAGGCTTCACGCACACTGACATATGAACCAGTTTTATTTTTGATTTGGTGACCCTTGAAAGTTCCTTATAATTCCTGCTGTTGAAATCAATGGTGAAGTTTCTCATAATTTTGACACAGGAAACGCAAACTGAAGTGAAAGCCCAAAAAATGTAATTTAAAAGACAAAGGAAAAAGCTCCCAAATCTCTAAAAGGTCAATGGGGGGGGGAATGAAAATTCTGCTCCCACCCACATGACTGACATGCCTCACCTACTTTGCATTGTTGCTGCTCTTCAAAAGATGTTAGATGTGGTTCCTGGTCACCAAATCTGGCACATCTGGTTTAAATGATGAATTATACTGTAATAAATGGTACCATTAAATAGCATAAATGCGCATCCTGAGTGCATATCAATACAGTACCTCCTAGTTGGTGGCATGGGGCCAACAGTATAATGGCTTCCAAGGTAATTTCTAGATGAGAAATCCTAGCTTGCACAGAATAGTATGAACATGGTTGGGGTTAAAGTAGCCTCTGGTTGTGTTTGTGGAGAACTGGCCAAAATCTGCCCAAATTAACCAGTACTCTCCTTACCATTAGCAGGGAATGCCATAAGCAACATAAGTATGATTAAGGCTGGTAATCTAATCTGCACTTTATCTTACTAAAAAGTGTTTTGTGAAAGTCACGACTGATGGTAGAGGCCAATATTTATGGGGCCATCTTCTGATGACAATGATATACAGAAGAATGTAACCTGGACTCTAAGAGGAGTAAATGATAAACAATATGCATTAATGAGTGAAATTAAATAGAATGAAAGAAAGAAAAATATATTTAGGTTTTGTCAGTCTAACAGACAAGGGAAGGATGTAATAGAACTGAACAAAAGTAGTCTGATCTTGTAGAACTGAAGTTGAATTAATGTTGGGAACTGAATGTACAAGTTTAATTATGAATGAAATAGCTTAACTATATGTTAAAAAGTCTGACATCATGTCAGCTAGGTTATTATGGGTGTGTATGAAAGTATAAAAACTGTAAGTTGG